GAATTGTCTAAATCCCTCACCCTCCACAAATTTAAAAGACAGTTCATCTATTATTATCATCTTTGCTAGGGCCTTTCTACATGCATCGACACTGAAGCTTACAGCTACAAGATTACCACTTGTTTCTCCATCACCATCCTTTTTTGGTTTAAAACCTAGGGTACTTTGCTTTGCATCTTCCCTTAAAGGATACTCCTTACACCTTGATTCTATATGAGTTAGCATTGATTTTGTCCTAAGAAGCATAGATACGGATACGAGATACGGATACGATACGATACGGATATGGCGATAAGACAAAACCTAAAAAAATAGGATACCGGTACAGCTAGGATACGTTTGTTAACAATATATTTTTTAAAATTATTAATAGTGAATTACACACAAACTAAAGAACGTTGAGAAATCATAATATAATTTTATAATGCAAAATATTAATTTTTAAGAATTTTGTATTAATTTAAGCTAGTAGCTTATTTACTTCTTAAATTTTTAATAGGTTTTGCAAATATTTCATTTCAAGATCAAGTTTAATATATTTATATTATAATAATGAAACAATTCACAATTTGTCCCTATGCTTTTCCCTTTGACACTAGTGAAAAATATTGTATTCAAGTTTACTTGCTTATTTATTTATTGATAATTAATTTTACCATTGTTATATTCTCTTGTTAATTCTTACTTTCTATGTAGTTATAGGGGACATGCATGAAATAATTAGGATACATCAGTTTGACAAATTCTATTATTTAACTCACTATACTCTTCTTATCGAAGAACTTAATAAAGTATTAGAAAAATATTTTTATATTTATACTTACAATTATATTATATTATATTACTATGCAAGAAATGTTACAATTCTAATTTCTTAAAACAAGTAAACATGATTTGAAGTATCCGATACTTCAAAATTAAGTATCCGATACTCCAAAATTAATAAAAAAATAATTAAGAAGTATCCGATACTTTTAATAAGTATCCGATACGTATCCGCGAGTATCCAAGGAGTATCGGTATCCGATACGGATACGATACGGATACGTCACCCTATTTGAAGTATCCATGCTTCATAGATTTTGTCCCATTAATCTTCAGATTAAATGCATAAGTTATACCACAATAATTACAAGAGGCCCTAGGTCTTTTACCAGATTCACAATCCAATTTCGTAAAATGATACCAAACCAAAGACCGTGGCCTTCTACCCACATTATCAGATTTATTTTTTGTGCTTGTTTCCTTAGCTTCTTGTACCGTAGGTTCTTCAGTTTCATTGGGCACTTCAAGCATATTTTCATCCATCTAAACATAATAACAACAAGAATTAGCAAACCATTATATTTATATATATATATATTTATTATTTCTTTATATATCATTAGCACAACAATTTAAAAAAAAAAAAATGAATGTCAATTTAAAAAAAAAAATTGAATGTTTCAAAAATATGATTCTATTTCTATTGATGCTATTTCTATTGATAGTCAATACCAAATCATTAACACAGAATCCAAATACAAAAAAAAAAAAACAATACTACTAATAACAAGAAACAGAAAGGGATTCTCCAAATATAAAAAAATAAAATAAATAACAACGTTACATGTAGCATACAGCCCTCAAATTACTACTAATAACAAGAAACAAAGAAACTCCTTTAGGGCACAATCAATAAAAGGGATTTCGAAAATTAGGGCACAATCAATAAAAGGGTTTTCGAAAATCACCTTAGAGTTTTGATTAAGCTTCTGCTTGTTGATTTTGCTACAAACCCACCAAGATCTTCATCGTCTGCTTCGTTGATGAGTGAAGGAAGTGCGAAGAGAGAGTGACGGTCGGTGTCTCTCGTTCGAAACAGAGAGCTCTCATTTGATTCTTGAGAGAGAGAGAGAGAGAGAGAGAGAGTGTGTGTGTGTGTGATAGTGAGAGAGGGCCGTGAGAGAGAGAAAGTGACAGTCTGAGAAAAATGGAGAAACTGGGAGAGCTTCTTCTCAGGAAGAAAACGAAGAGACGAAGAGAGAAAAAATCTATGGTGCGTGGTGTGTGGTGGGTTGGTGAACCGTGTATGTGTGGTGTGTTTTTTTTTTAACATAGTGAGACACGCGGACGGCTTAGATGATGCGACGTGGATGGCTAGGATTTTAAGACTATTAATATTATATAAGTTGGGTCGGTTCGGTTCGGTTCAAAAAACAAAAAACCATAACCGAACTGAATGTACAGAAAAAAATAAACTGAACCGAACTGACCGATCGAAAACTTAAAACACCGACTGAAAACCATTCGGTTCGGTCGGTCCTTCCGGTTATTCTTTCACCCCTAAGCTACATGTTAGTGTTCTAGCAATCTCTCTTCTCAGCTGCCCCCTACCTTTGCTTGTTGCTTCTGACTCTAGTGTTGTCTCTGCACAAGTTCCTCTATCTGAGTTCTGAGTCTCTCAGTCAGTCTTTGCTCGTGCTTGCACTGTCTTCGACTACTCTTGGTTTTCATTTTGTTCCGATCTTGTCCCTTGCATCATCAGACCACTTACTTGATGGGTATTCTTCCAACCGGAGATTCTGCTTCTCTTGCTCGGATCCATCCGATGGTTACTTGTGTCCGTGTTGGGACATAGCGACCCTTAGTTTGCACTGATGACATTGTGTGTTATCCATTGCTCCATGCTTTGGCTGCTCAACTTTCTTCTCCTTGTGATGAACCTACTTGCTTCTCTTAGGCTGTTCATTTTCTAGAATGTCGTACTGCTATGGTTGATGAGTTTAATGCTCTCCTTAAAAATCAAACTTGAATCTTGTTCCTCTCTCACCGCAGCAAAATACTGTGGGCTGCAAGTGGGTTCTTAAAGTTAAAGCGATAAGTTGATGGCACCATTGAATGCCACAAAGCCTGTCTTGTGGCCAAAGGCTTCCATCAGCAACATGGTTTGGACTATGATGGACCTTTTGTCCTGTTGTTAAGCATACCACTATCCGGATTTTTCCAAGAGTGGCCATTTGCTCTGGGTGGTCTCTACAACAGTTCGATGTCAAGAATGCCTTAATGGTTTTTGTCAGAAGAATTTTTTTGACTCAGCCTTCTAGGTTTGTTGATACTCAGTGCTCATCATGTTTGTCAGCTTTAGAAGCTGATCTATGCTCTCAAACAGGCTCCTTGTGCCTGGCTTCAATGGTTTATCTCATTCATTATCCGATATGGGTTCACTCAGTTAACCACTGTTTGTCCTTAAGAAATCCTCTTAGATGATTTTTTATTTTATTTTATATGTTAATGATATTGTGCTTATTGGGAACACACTGTCTCTGATTTCACCATTTATCTCCACGTCTGGTACAGAATTTGAGATCAAGGATCTTGGCTTTCTTTACTTTTTTTTTTTTTTTCTTGAGGTGTTTTCTTTGAGTTTTGGTCTACATCTCTCCCATAAGCGCCATAGTTCCATGAATGAGTGCAAGCCTGCAGTACACCCTTGTTGGCAACTTTCTGCACTCTTCTGAGTATCGTCACTTGGTCGACTCTATTCAATATCTGACTTTGACTTGTCCTCATAGTGCCTTTGCAGTTCATGTTGCTTAGTTCATGAGTGCCCTTCAGACCGCTCATCTTGCTGTTGGTAAATGCATTTTGCGTTGCCTCAAAGGCACTCTAGATCAATTAAACCAACAGCAGCAAAATATCACTTAAAACATTACTCTCATATTTTTAGATGCCAATTACTGATTAAGCCTACATAATCTAACTTATCTACTATCTCCTTTTCTATTGATAACATGGTTAATCAATTCAATCTTTGTTATGACATGGATGACTGAAGATAAGATTATGGACTTTCAGTAAGTTGGATTAGACCCTCATTTTTGGACCTTCTACAAAGCTAAAATTATTTGGGGCCCTTTGAATTTTGTTAAAATTTGGGGGTTCAAGGTGGTGGCCTTCTTGGCTAACCTTAGGGCCGGCCCTGCTTGACGGTGTGTGCCAAATCAATAGCCCTAAAGCTACCAGCATGCATCATTTAACTGTCATATAATCATGTAATGTTAATCGATGTTATGTTGGGATCTGCATCATTGCTGCTATTATGTTTTTTCAGCCTTTTGATTTGGTGTGGAGAACTTTGAAACTTTGCTTCTGTAGCTGTTGAATAATTTCTGTTATTGATTATCCTCTGCAATTTCTCCATTTGAAGCAGGTGTCCTATTGATGCTATTGCATTTAATTTTTTTACTATCTATGACCTCCTCCTCTTCTTCCTTTTTACCTTAGCCAATAAGTACTGTAAAGGGACAATTCTTCAATCGTTATCTTGTGTTTGGTTGATTGTGAGTCTATAATTCACGGTTTCAAGTAAATGAGTAAACCCTTGGCTCTGTTGTGAGGAAAATGATGTTTTATTTTTTTTAAAAGCAAAAATTATAGAATGTAGCATTTGTGGGATACAAATAGCAACTATAATAATGGAGATTGTGTGCATGCAGTTGCTGCATTTCCCCCCAGAGGGGACAACCTGCCTGTGCAAAATTTTGTATTAAGATTGTTTGGCTATGCACAACAAAGACCAGTAACGGCAGAGTCTTTAACATGTAAGGAAGACTGACAATATCCATATTGGCAATTTGGCAGTAATGATAGGGGGAGCAAGAAGATCAAAATTAACATGGATTGAGATAGTAAGAAGCATGGTAACATGTGCTTTTAATTTTAGAGAAAACAAGTAAGCATGTTGTTTAACTGAAGTGATGGCCCTCAATAAAGCAAATAGGTGAAGCAAGATTCATGTAGGTGACCACAAGTAACTGGGACAAAAGTCATTATTGTGTTGAGCTCATTTTGTAAGTTTGTTTATTTATATAGATAAAGTGGAACAATTTAAAGCCAGGATGTTTACATGTTGGAAGTCGATCCTTCAGGATGGATTACAATATTTTGTTTTAAATGTTGATCCAGTTATTGTATCACATTCACATAATTATGGCCTAATCATTTAATTTTGGTTTTAGGTGCTCAATCCTTCAGATAAAGCAAAGCCTAAACTCGGGCAGCCTCAGCCTCAGCCTCAGATATCACCTTCTCACTTTGCCAATCACTCTCCTCGAAGTGGGCCTGTGAAGTCTGATATTTCAAGGACGTCTAGTGTGGGAAAGCTTCATGTGCTCAAACCGGCAAGGGAAAGGAATGGTGTCTCTCCCACTGCAAAGGGTAGCTTGAGTCCTACAAGTGTTGCTGTTGCTCCTTCAGTTGTTGGATCTGCTCCTTTGAGGAGCCCAGGGAACAACCCTAACCTTGTCAGTGCTGAGCGCAAGCCTGCCTTGACTATTTTGGAGAAGAGACCCACACCTCAATCTAAGAGTCGGAATGATTTTTTCAACCTTGTGAGGAAGAAATCTATGACCAGCCCCTCTTCTGCTGCCCCTGATCCTGGCCTTGCTGTGTCATTGCCTGTCTCCGACAAGTCCGATGAAACAGGATCTGGGAGTGCACCTGTTACGCCTCATGATGGAGATTCCCCTTTATCGGATAGCTTTGACCGGTCAACTGAGAAGAGGAATGACATGAACAGCAATGGTAATGACAATGCCTCTGACAGGCCTCGTGAATCACTGGATGACAAGCACCAGGAACCTCTTAACAATGGAAAGGATCCTTCAAGCTCCAATGGCATTCTTTATTCAGAGGAGGAAGAGGCTGCTTTTTTACGCTCGCTTGGGTGGGAGGAAAACGCTGGAGAGGATGAAGGTCTTACCGAGGAAGAGATCAGCTCTTTCTACAAGGAGGTGGATGAGGTAATATCTCTTGAAACAAGATGAGTCCTTTGTTTTACTTTAATAGTTATTTGATATTTGATTAAATTAAATTAATAATAATTGAGCCTCTGTCATACTGTTGGAAGACAGCTCCCAAATGCTATATATATTATCACTAGTCATTTTTTCAATGTTTTTAACTAGCTTTTTAATATTGTTTGGATCTCTTAAAATTGTTAGGCAACTACTTTCTTGTTTCTCTGTGCAGTACATTAAACTGAAGCCATCCTCGAGAATTTTCCAAGTAATGCAGCCGAAGTTTTTAGTGCCGCTCAATTTGCGCACGGGGAGTGTTGGTGGTGGTGCTTCATCCGGATCAAGCTCATCCAACTCCAAATTAGAATCTTAATTAACCTAATCTCTCACCCTTGATAGGTTCTTTGTGGGTTTTGTTTTCTTGAATTGAAATTGAGTTGGAAATCTGAGGAGCCAGTGGGGGCACCAGGAAAAGAGAAGTAGTGGATATATGCTTGTGCTTTTTTTTTTTTTTGTGGAAGTAAATAGGAATAAGTTACAAATGGTCCTTTTTGCCCCTGGATGACTTTGGATGTGCTGTTGACTTTCTAAAATCTTTTTGAGGCTAAAGGTTTGATGGAAGAGAATAGGAATTTAGGGTTTCTTTAGGTCTGCTGATGTAAGAAGCTGCTGTGGTAGATCTGGATGCTTGTCAGTTTTGGTTTTTTATTTTTTTTTTTTGAGAGGGCCTCAAATCAACAAATTGGTTACTTTTAATTTTAGTTATTTTTAACAGGAAAGAAAAAAAGCAAGAAATTTTTATGTTCTTTTACATTCTCTGTGCCCTTGCTGTTAGTTTGCTCAAGTTATGTTTTCTTTGTTTTGCCCATGCTAGTTCTGTGTATCTGATGACTCAATTCTTTCACTCACTCTCAAACACACATGCACTGCTTTTGACATGCATCCGGAATTTTGTTTTTGTTTAGTTTTTATTATTTTATTATTTTTTGTGGCCACGGGATCAAAGAAATCTAGCTGTACTATACTTTACACATATGTGGAGAATTTGTGGAGTTTGAGAGGGCTTCAAGTCAAAGAGGCAATTTGTGGAGTTTGAGAGGGCCTCAAGTCAAAGAGGCAATTTGGTTATCTTACAGCACAGAATGGAAACTCCTGGTTGCAGTATGGCCAAGTAATTGATGGCATTGCCTGCATTGTCGTGTTTTCTTGCATATCATATGAAGGTCATCGGTTTAAATTGGTGTTTGGTTAACACCCCATCGGTTTAAATTGGTGTTAGGTTATTCAGGGCTCTTTATATGTATATGTTTTTGTCATTCAACAAATTTTTTTTTTAAAAGTAAAGGATAAAAGATTTGTGTTAAAATTACAAAAAATACTTAGCATTACATTATAACAACTAATAAGTATTACTTGTTCTTCGCTTTTTTTTGTATTTTTAGAAGCAAATAAATCAATCATACTTGCATAATTTAGTCTTTTTACAAAATCATTTTCAATGGGTAACAATACTAATCCATTCAATCTCTCTTGTGATATGGTTTATCGAAAGTAATTTTTGATCATTTTTAACTTTGAAAAGCTTATTTTTTCCGATGCAACTGTAGCCGGAATAGTCCAAAGTATCCTACAAGCAACTCATGAATTTGGGAAAATAATTTGCCATCAACTACAGATGATTGAGCATTTCAATTAGTTTATTGACTTATTTTGGCAATCTCTCTTTCAAAACTTTTAGCTCCATCAATAAATCTCTTCTATAAATATCGAAAATCTCACCATGTATCAAAAATTCTTCAAGGTTCACACACCCCGCCTTCAATGATTCATCGTTGGCATTTTTCAAGTCAAACAAAAAGCTAAAATATGTCTCATATATTTTGAATTGTTCGAACCTATTTTTGAATGAACAAAGGACTTGATCAACAAAATAGAAGAAGTAACCGATTCTAAGTTAGTTTGGGTCTTTTAATTTTGAATGGACCTTTTAATTTTTTAATGGATCAATTTATTTTAAGTTAGTTTGGGTCTTTTAATTTTGAATAAGCCTTTTAATTTTTTAATGGGTCAATTTATTTTAAGTTGGTTTGGGTCTTCTTTAATTTTTTTTAAACGTAAAACATACTTAATATGTTACACTAAATTATAATAGCCAACCTTTTTTTTGGGTCTATTTTGAAGGGTCCTAAGTCATGACCTAGTGGGCCTTTGCCAGGTCGGCTCTGATTATAATATTGGTATTAACTAGTAAATGCAAAGTTGGTTACTATCCAATGTAGTATATTTAGTTATATCTCATCTAGGCCTACTGTGGCAGCTTTCGGCTGTGACAAAATTAGTATTAAGGCCCCGTTTGAGGACTTACTTTTTTAGTCAATTAGTCAAAAAGTTATTAAATTAGTCAAAAAGCCAACAATTCATACCAAAAAGTCAAAGATTCTCTTTTCTCTCTACTTTTTGCACATCTTTTCGTAATTAGTCAAAAAGTCATCCCAAACATACAAGTTTTTTTTACCTACCTTTTTAGCCAAATAGCTAAAAAGTTACTAAATTAGCCTGTTCTCAAACGAGGCCTAAATTATATACTAAACTGGTATTGTCTACAACCCAATGGAGAGATTAATGGCTCAATTTTCATTTTATATTTGATGACTGAAAATAATAAGTGTATATGGTTTTTATACCTTTTTATGGCAGGTATAGTAAGATTTTCCTTGCTTTCATACCTTTTTTGTGACGGTAGGATTTTCTTTTCCTTTGCTTGTAAAACACAAAAGCGATATTGTTTAGATAAGGTTAATGAAAATCAAAGCATTAAACCTGGCAATTTGGGATGGAGGATCAACTGCCTTATGGGCAGTTTGGTTCGGCATCATTTGTTTTTGTTTTTTAAATTATACGTTAGTTTTAAAATGGTTGTTAAAAATGTCACTTATTTTATTCTGATCACTGATATTTAATTTGTATCAATTATATTTCTAAATTTTCAACAATAATTCAATGATCTCTTAACTATTGTCTATAGAACAAACATAATACTTATTTCAACTTCACATTAGGCATTTGAAAGCCATCGGGATGAATTTATCCTTTTTTAACCCCTTAACAATGTGAGAACAATGTAAATGAAATATTAGGTATATTTTTTCTTTTTTTTTTAAAAAAAATCTGTATTTAAATTCATAATTTAAATATAATTTAAATGAATCTTGATTCTCGAGATAACTAGCATTACCCTTGTCAACCGCACCTATCACCCTTATTAGCTGATGTGTTAATCGGCATCCGCCTGGATGATCGTCATCCTTCCGGATGACCGGCTGGACCATCCATATGCACAAATTCAAACAATTTAAGCAAATATAATATTACTGAATATCTCATCTAATTAATGTGTCAGACTAAATAATAATAATAATAATAAAACCCTAACTCTAAAGGAAGCCAAAATAATTGACCTAATAGTTGGCAGCCCTAAAAATTACAAATCCTAGTTTGACCTAATGGGCCTTTAAGAAATGTAAAAAGGTCACAGCGACATTAGAAAAGAAGGATCATGGTTGGGTTCACGGCCACCCTAGTTTAGTCCTACTCTCTTCTCACTCATGGACACCTTGCCCTATTCTTGGTCCAACCCCAAAGCTTGTGCCTAATTTTCTTAATAGTTGAAAATAGGTATGGCTAAGGGTAAAACATTGATAGCCCAATGCCCATTGTCACTTTGGGTAAGACCCACAATCAATACTCAATTCAAATCAAACAAGTTCTTATTCCAAGCAACTCAATTCAATTCCCTCTCTTAAATTTTTTGTTCGACGTAAAATTTTTTTTTAAAAATAATATGTTATCGTATTGAAATTATTTTTTTTTCCTTTTCTAAGCTTGGAACTTGTAGATATTTTGTTACTTGTTGTTTCTGTTAATATTCATTCATTTTTCTTGATATGGTCTATCTAATATAAATTTCTCTAGTGAAAAATTTCCAATGAAAAAAATTATTATAAATACTCGTGGACACAATCTATACTAGTATCAAATTTGTCACCATCTCATCTCATCTCATTTTACAATAATAAATTAGAAAATATCTCAGAAAAAATACAACCAAGTTCAAATTTTCTTATGAGAAAATGCCAAAAATAGCGACCCTGGGTTTAATTTTGTCAAAGTAGGATTTGGCTTATTGTGGGAACAAGATTAGAATGATGGAGCCCAATGCCTCCCACGTGCTGCCAAATGTGTCATTTTAGAGTCTAAAACATTATTACACCCATAATGTTAATGGTCAATTAGTGAGTGGTCATTCGTCTATAAGAAATATATATAGAAATACGAAAAAAAATATATAAAAATTTAAAAAACTATTTGAGAAAATGTGAAAATTACATTATTGAGATTCTAATTATTTTTACATTAATTTCACTTTAATTATAGTTAGGATATTTAAATTTGGAAAAGGTGGAGTAGATTTGTGGAGTAGATTTGTGGAGTAGAGTAATCTTTAAAAAGGGCAATTCTTAAGTTTTATGCATTTGTGTAAGTTTTCACAAATATACGTAAGTTGTCTTATAAAATTGTGTAAATTTTTACAAACATACGTAAGTTAACTCATAAAAATTTTAAAAATTATAATTTACGTATATTTATGAGAACTTACGCGATTTTATGAGATAACTTATGTATATTTGTGAGAATTTACGTAAGTGCATATGATATTCACCTTGCAAACTCAAACACCTCCCCTTTAAAAATTATTACACATTAGTGAAACAATTTATAATTTTAATTATTAATATTTATAATATTTATTATTTTTTTGTAAATACTTTTTTCTCACAACAGCTGTTGGTTTATTTTCCCATTTTTTTATTAGTTTTTTTTTTTATACCTTTTTAGAAAAAAAAGTTGATGTATTTGAAAAATGTTAAAAAAAATTACTTTTTATTATTGGAAAAACTTCCTTCACATACTTTAAAAGATAATTTTTGTTTTTTTTTTGTTAGCTAAATCAGTCATTATCAAAGCGGCAAAAATCTTTTGATTGGAATAGTCAAAATTAAACAAACCCTTATATGATGTGAGTTGGAATCTCATGCAAATGCAAGGAAAATATCATTTCAGTGAAAAACAGATTCTATAAACTCATAGTTCTTCATCAAATTGATATTAATACCATTGATATATATTGCTTATTATTAATATTAGTTTTAGTTGACAACTTTAAAATAATTTTTTTTGGGATTCATATATAAATCTATATTTGGGAGGGAGGGAGGTGGCGAGGAGGAGGAGGTCAAGTTGGAAGAAATTAGAGAAACCAATGTCTGGGAGGTCAACCCTATGGAGTCTCACTTTGTTATTGGGCACCATCCACAAGAGCCGATTGGTCCTCGATTGCCTCTAAATTATGCTCTCCTACTATAATAATTCAATGAAGTAGTAGTTTGGTAAAACTTTGTTTTCTTCATATACAACCTTTGGAATTTAGAAAAGAAAAGAAAAGAAAAGAAATGATTACATAAATTAAAAAAGAAAAGAAAAGAAAACATTATAATTTATCTCTTTTTTGTTTGGATAAATATAAAAGAAAAAAAAAGAAGATAATTAGGATTTCTCTTTTATCTTGTTTGGTTAAATTACATTCAGTATGTTTGGTTTGAGTTTTCTGGATTAAGTTTTTTGAAAATTAAATTTTTTGGTTTTCGTATTATTTTTTTTTTAGTGAATATTTTTAAAATTTTAAATATATATATATTTTTTACTTTTTTAGATGAACATTACTTGGATGTATCTAAAAAGTAAAAAATTTATGA